AAAAAAAAAAAAAAAAACCCTCATATCCATTGTTTAATAATTAAAAATCAAGCTTAGGATATTTTAGTGGAAATATTTATTTGTGCACAACTTGCTAATCCTGAAATTCCTAGTATCTTCTTATGGTAGGGTTGAGTTCTATGCGCTCCATCAAAGGACACAACACACAACAGCGTCTTTTCCCTAGCAACAGACCAAAAATTAATTCTACCAATGATTCTGTCACCCCCCCAACCAAAATACCAAACTTCTCCAATCTTCCCCTCTTGATACTGAAACAAATCAATGTGCATTTCTGTAATTCTGTATTTAGGCTCTAGCACTATTGGTATTGGGGGACCTCCTAGTTGTTATCTTCTGTGTAACTAATAGATTTTTACCAGTCGATCTCTTATGGTCATTAATTGACCACCTGTTTTTCTCTCCTCTCTATATACCCTTTGAATTCAATTCCATATCACCTCGTAAGTCACCCTCCAATACCAAGAGGAAAATGCCCAGCTTTAAACCATTCTATTTAGTTTTGCTACTTTTCTCCTTCATCCTTGCAGAAGCATACTTTGTCCAAGGTCTACACCTTTCTTCTACTACTATTTTTTTCTACTTCACACGACAGCTCTTTTGCCCATTTTCCTATTGTAGAAAGTACATTTCTGAGATTTTTAGAGAAGCTCTAATCTCTTTTCCGTACATTAAGATATACAATTTGCTTATGATGTCAATTTTGCAGGGTCTAGAACTCAAGTACTTCATCCTCATGAACAGAGTATCTCACATTCTTCTTCCCCATTACATTTCAAGGTAATAATAATAATAGTCAAAGGAAAAAAAAAAGAAAAAAGAAACAGCTCAATTTGTTATCAAATTCTACTATGTTTATCTACTTTAAAGTGGTTCTATTAACATTAAATAATTTTTTCGAGCACAGAATAGGAAAACTGAGGGGAAGATAAAGAGGAACTCGAGGATTGGATCGACTGCACCTACTTGCACTTACAATGAATGTAGAGGATGCAAATACAGGTGTAGAGCAGAACAAGTGCCAGTAGAGGGGAACGATCCAAGGAACAGTGCATACCATTACAGATGTGTTTGTCATAGGCCCTGAACCAAATATATTGTAAGTTGAGTCAGGGTGGTTTGTTTGAGTGAAGAAATCTAGCACTAGACAGCACTATTTTGTCTCTAGAATCTAGTTATATATATGGAGTGTCATTTAGCACATAGTCTTCCGGTTTATTGGTTATTAATTTATATCATGAAATTTTCTAGAGAAAAACTTTCTCATGTGGGAGATTAATTCAAGCAGCGAGGACATTCCATTCGCTTGATTTATGTAATTTCTTCTCCCTCCATATATATAGGTTAGATTCATTTGTGCCATGTTTTGTCTCAATATATGAGAGGAAGAATAAATTTTTAAAGGCTTGTTCCGCTTAAATTTTAAAAATAATTCTTTTGTTGTAAAAGTTAAAACAACAACATTTAGCTCTTTCTCCTTCTTCTTCTTCTTCTTCTTCTTCTTTTCACAAACGAAATTTTACTCTTGTTACATTTTCTAAATTAAAATTCCTTCTGTAACTCAAATTCTGCAAACACAAACAAAAGAAAGACTGGCAGTTGACGAATAAGGATCGTGAAACTCTTATCAACTACATTGTATTAGGGTTTCTAGCGAAAGAAAGAAATAATAAAAAAAAAAAAAAGTGTTCATACAAGTGGGCAAATGTGGAAGTGGTCCCTAAAGGAAATTAATTAAGGCACACAAGGTAACAAAGAATCACATGGGAGCAGCTTGTTTGGATTCATTCATCTGAAATTGGGAATTCATGATTCATGAGGAATATGGAGCAGTACAGAAACAAGAAAGAAGAGGCCAACATGGCAACATGGATCATGCTTACATGCATTTGGCCTTTTCCAGTTCTTCCATCCCTTGAGAATATATTCTGTGCCTATTTTACATTTTTAGGGTTGGTACCTGTGATCATAGGCGTGCTCGATTCTAAAATCATCGCTTCGTTTTAATAGATTTTAATTTGAATATTGATTTATTTTAATTTATTTTCAAAAAGGTATTTTTAAGAACATTTATGAAATTATTTAAATGAGCAAACATCTACTTATACATAAATTTTGTACATTACACTTACATAAATCTTAATTATTTGTCTCTTCACTTTAATTAGTTGAGATTTATCATGATTTTTTATATAACAAAATAATTATCTTTGATAAATATAATAAAAAAAATAAATCTCAATAATTGAAAGTGAAAATGTGAATAACTAAGATTTTATATAAGTATAATATGTAAGTTTAGTGTATAAACATAATCTTTCTCTATTTAAATATACACTTAATGAATGCTCCTCATGTGTTAATTGATTAAAATTACAAGCATAAAATTATTTAAACATGCACTTAATAAATTCTCTCTCTATATTTATTCATTAATGATAATTAAGTTTGACTAGCATTCTTGCACTATTTTTTTTTTTTTTTTCACATTGAAATAGGGCTCAAGATGGAAATGGTTATGGCCATGGCCATAGCCACATTAACATTTGTTTAGCTCACATAAAATATTGTGAATTTGTTTAATTTGACTGATTTTATCAATTTATAATTGGTAAGAGTATTCAAAAATATCATCTTATACAAAAAAAAAAAAAAAAAAAAAGGACACCTAGCTGTCGTTCCCTCCTAAGCCTCCTCTATTGGTTCTTCTTTCCCCTTGGCAATTGTCTCTATCTCCCTCAATAATTGGGGAGGATGAATAAAGATGAGATTGTCTCCCTCCATTTGAGAGTTTCTTTCTAAAAGATGTTTTGTCTCCCTTTTTCTTGATATATCTCATTTAATTTTATCCATTGTAAAGAATGAAGACAAAGTAAATTCACTACAAGAAAAATTGATTTCACTGATCACATATCACCAAGGTAAGAATTTTTCTTGGTGAAACGTCACTTTATCGACAAGAATTAAGTCTGAAACTTGAGAAACAATAGAATTACCAATAAGATATATTATTTATTTTACAGACGTAATACTTGTCAGTAATTTAAGATAATACATACCTGCTACTTGTCGGTAATTGTAGCCAACACTATGGCAGGCGAGGGAAGGACGAAAACCCACATCACCGACGAGAAGCACGCTTGTAAATTTATTTTTGGAACGATAGTCTCATCGGTAATTGAGGATCAATTTCCAACGTTCATCTTCTCGGTAAGCTCCACCCCCAACGCACCCCCGCCAACTAGCTGGCTGCCTACGTCAGGGAGTGTAGCTTTTTGATGAAATTTTCTGACATTATGCTTGTTGGTAATTTGCCATTCCCAACTCCCCGCAAATCTGGTTGCTGGCCACTGGTGTTGCAGCTTTTATTTGACTCACCAACAAGGTTTAGGTCGGTAATTCATATATTTCCAACTTCATGTTTGTCGGTGATTGGCCCAGTCAACGAGAATTATGATGCAACGCAGAGATGATCAGCTTTAGACTGTAGCAATGTGGGTTTTGTCGGTAAGTTTCCCTATTGCCCTGCCGAACCGCGCTTCTGCTTTCATTTGGTCTTTCTCCTTTCATTTTCATTTTCCTCTTCTCTTGCGAGTTGTTCGTGCTCTCCTTTCCTCCATTCTTCCCTTTGAAGCACTTTAACCCATTTTTCTTCTTGCAGTCTAGTGGATCAAGCAGTGGTAAGTAAAATTTAAGTAATAATATTATTTTTTATGTATATTTTATTTTTTTTAAATTTAAATCATTAAATATTGTTATTAATTAGTTTATTAGATATTAGTTAATATTATTAGATTTTCTTTTAGATAAATTTGATGAATAGTTATGAATAATGTTTTTATAAATTTTTAGTGAAATTTCAACCATTAATGACAATTTTTATATTAAGTATTTGATATTAACTAGCATTTTCAGATTTGTTGTTTTGAGTATATTTTAGGGTGAATATATATGATTTTTGTGAGTTTTGAAGGTTTTATATGGGCAGATTTTCATGTCTTACCGTTTTCTGCATTTCTTATCTTTTAATTAACTCTAAAACATTGTATTTTTCATAGTTGAAAATTAAAAAAAATATTTAAAAAGTTGAGGGATGAAAAGTATGTAAACTTTAAAGTTGAAGGACCTAAATTTTTTAGTTAAATAACCATGATAGTCCCTCAACTTTCTGATTTAGGTCAAACTTATTCCAAACCTTTAAAAAGTACTAGATATGTCCTTAAACTTTAATTTTTGAAACCGAAATAATCCCTGAACTTTTGTTTAGTATCAATTTAGTCCTTAACATTTGAAGACTTAGACCTTAAAACTTTGATTATAAGTACTAATTTATTTATTCAACTTTATAAATACAATTAGAAAAATATATCATGATAGTAAAATATAATTATTTGATTTGATTTTATTAATTTTTGAAAAGGAAATTGATTTTGTGGCAAAATAATGAATATCAAGTAACACGTTGAGATAAGTATATTTTGGTATTAAATATTAAAGTTAGAGATAGTTTTGGTATTTTTAAAGTTTAGGATAATTTTGATATAAATTTAAAATATTAGGGACTAAATTTGGTATTTCAACCAACTTTTTAACAATTTAATAATTGGTCTTATTTTGTTGTTGTATCTATTTTAAGTTATATTATGTTAATTTTAAATATAGTTTTTTTTATTTAATGGTATATATAAAGAAATTTTTAATTGAA